CCCCCCCCCCCCCCCCCCCCCCCCGGGTTAGAACTATCTTAAGCAAGCAGCTATTTCATCAGATCTTACAAATCTTAGCAGTGTTTACATTTTTTTTTTTTTACATTGCCCCTCTTGACATGGCCTCCTAAATTCCACTCAGATTAGAACTGGTGTCCTACAGGGGCATCTCTCACAAACACCCAGTCACCCGGTTGGAAGGAGGGAGAAATCACCTCTGGGGATGTGGTCACTTTACAGCAACTATAAACTAAAGCCATGATCCTAGCCAGCCAGCCACTGAGATGAAAAAAGTCCCAGAGCCATCCTACCAAGGCCCCAAAGGCCCAAGATTTTGACTACTCATTAGGGACGAATATGTCCTCAGAAAACAAAATGTGGTGGCTAATCAAGGTTCCAGTGAGGGGCCTAAAGGAAGGAATTGTTCAGGTCCTCCTCCACACCTCCACTCTTGTCATGAAATCATTACTGGCAGAATGACCCAAAAGGTCTCAGATGGAAAGGAAAGGCTTTGGGAACAAACCCAAGTCTTAGAGCCTTCCTCCTTCTCCTCCAACCTAACTTGATATCCTTCCCACCACTCTCATCCAGCACCTCCTTACACCGCTCCTCCCTTTTACTTTCTTCAAAGCACTATTCACTATCTGAAATTCTCGTCTATTTTTCTACTGCTTGTTGTTGCTCTCCCCCCATGGATCTTGGTTTCACTCGGGTAGGACAGTCACATAACGTGCAGTGCCTGGCACTACAGTCGCTCAGTTACAACTGATGAATTCAGTTCAACAAGTGAACGGTATCTAAGGGCCTTACTTTGTGCCAGGTGCCCGGCACTACTGGATGAAGGGATGGGAGATGGACATTCTTCTTTTAGCCAACTAAGGAGCTGGCCACTGGGGTGGGAGTAAGTCAAGCGGGTGGACCCCAGGCGCAGGCAGCTACTGCTCTCCCCCTACCCCACTTCAGCTCCCCTTGGGCCCTACTAGGGCCCTCCCACCCCGCTAGCCCGGCGCCCGCACTCACCCGCTGCAGCTCGAGCTCTATCTCACCGGCCTTGAGCACGATGGGTCCCCGCACCGCGTACTCCACAGCCTTCACCTGCGGGTTCATGGACTCGAGCGTCAGGATGCGCTCGCGTCGGCTCCGCTCCGGCCGCACCTTGAGCACCGCGGAGGCCTCGGCGGCCGCGCTGCTCTGACTACGGCCCCACGGGCCTGGAGTCCGAGGGCAACAGCCCAGCCGGACCAGTGCCGCTGCCCGCTGCATCGCGCGCCCGCCCAGGAAAACCTTGGCACAAAAAGAAAAAGAACGAACACGTCGTGCACAATCCAAGGCAAGCACCAGTGCCCCCGCCCCCAAACCCAGCCAAGGGCCTTTTCAGCGAGCAGTGCCAGCCTGGCTCCGGGGCTGGGTGCCCATCCCCCGGCGACTCGGACCCTCCACCGCGCCACTGCAGAGCCTAGCAGTTTTGCAAAAGCTGCACCTAACGCATGCATCAACGTGCCTGTCGCCACCGCCTGGCCACCCCTCGCCGCGCCCCGCTAGCGCGCGCGCTTAAAACTGGTCCCGGGCTCCGGCACCAGCAGCCGCATCTCAGCGCCCCAAGCCCGCACAGCCCGGCCCCCAGCGATCGCACACCCACAGCCGGCGGATCCGCCCCGGGCCTGCCCACTGACTCCTGGGCGTTGTAGTTCCCCAGTCTGCTTCCGGAGCTGGTGTGGCGGACTGGATCAACTACAAGTCCCAAAGTGCCCCGCGCCGGCCCGATTCGGGGCCGGGCAAGAGGCGGGAACGGTCTTCGGAAGCTGCCCGAGTGGGAGGGGGCAGCCTCTTTGTCCTCGCTGAGGGTGCTGAGAGTTGGGCTGCGGCCAGAGTTGGGCTGGGGCCAGCCAGGGGCTGTTCTTTCAGCCTTCTGCGAATTTAGAGCTATTTGCAGCGTCTCCTTGGAGGGCATCCCGCCTTCCCACAGCCCCTCCCCCCACTACCCAATACCTGCGAGGAGGCAGGCTGAGAGATGGTGCAGTCCTCGTCCGGAGTTTCATCATCCAGGGCCCTACAGTGGCTGGTAGGTTAGGAGTTTGGGACTTCACTGCCACTCTTACCCCTTCTGAATGTGGGTTTCCTTGTTAGAAAAGCGGAGGTCTGAACCTAGATTTTAAGAGTTATTGTGAGAATTAAAGGATTAGCACCTGGCAGGTACCAGGTGGTCAGGCTTTTCCTGACTACTCCATCTGGAGTCTTTCCCCACCGTCATTGCCTCTTTATTTCCTTGCAAGCATCTGAAATTATCATATTTATATATTTCTTACTGACTTGTTAAGCTCCATTCACCATGTAAGCTCAAGAAGGGCAGTTTTCTTTGTTCATCCTATTCATATGGCACCTGTAAAGTTTCCTGGCACATAGTAGGCACTAGTAAATATTTGAAGAATGACTGCTCAGCATAGGATAGCTATTATTTTTGGCAAAGATATTAACAGGCAGAGGCACCCTGGCTCCCTGAGGGTGGGCAAGAATAGGACTGGAAGACACCAGGTCTAAGACCCCAAAATCCAGGGAGTATGTGAGAAAAGTCACTGTCCCTCTCTGGGCCTCAGGTTCTCTATCTGCAAAGTAAATTGGATTAAGTAACCCGTAAGGTCCCTTCCCATCTTGGAAACACTGCCTAGGTTCTTTTCAGGTAGAAAAACAGCCCAAAGCTCCCTCACCCCAACAAACACACACACTCACAGTAGATGTGTGAAAGTAGGAGTGGGGGGAGGGGAACTTAAAAAACACAGCAGTGTAGGGGCACCTGGGTGGCTCAGTCAGTTAAGCAACCAGCTCTTGGTTTCTGTTCAGGTCATGATCTCACTATTGTGAGTGTGGGTGTCCTCACTCAGCGTGGAGCCTGCCTGGGATTCTCTCCCTCCCTCCCTCTCTCTGTGCCCCTCTTCCCCTTGTGCTTTCTCTCTCTCTTTCTCTCAAAATAAATTAGCAAACTTTAAAAACAAAAAACCCTCCATAGCAGTGTAGGGGAGAAGGTACTGGAAAATCCAGGTTTAAATGTAGCTACATATAGTCCCTTACCTCTTGATTGACTTTGAGCATGTTACCTAGCCTTTGTAAGCTTAGTTTTACGTCATGGGGCTGTGAAGAAAGTTCAGTGAGGTAACTGAAAAAGCCAAAAGTTTGGAACCTAGTGCTGTGGGTCAGTCTTATTCATCCTTGTCAAGAGAATGCCATATACCTGGATTAAATAAATTGATTACCAATAAAAGGGTAAATGGGATGGAGAGAGCAGCAGAAACCAAAAATCTCTCTGAATATTCCTATTAGCAAACTGGCTTGCCCACCAAAGACCCTGGAAGTTTATTTGGGCGTCTCATCAATGGTTCCACCTCCAGCACCTATGTCTATACTGTCTTCTTCCTGGCTTCGGTCTCAGTGGCCAGGTATTCAGTTTCCAGGTAAAAGATTTCCCCCCAGGGAGTTTGGCTTCCCTAAGGACTACACTGCCTTCAACGTCATGTTCTCACCTGCTCTGCCCAGTTGTGGAGAAACACACCCACACACCCCTCCACCTCTAAACACACTTAACCTTGACCTGCATCTGATGTCAACACAGTCCCTCACTGTTCACCCAAGGGTTGGTGTACTTCCTGTTGTCTCCACCCCTGATCAGAAGGGGCAGAGGAGGTAGAAGGAAGGGCAGGCATAGAGGGGAACACAAATCTATTTGCACAACTGGGAAAAACAATGCGTAGCACACAGTCCATCTACGTGGGCTCCCACGTCATCACGGTAGAAAACAAGTTAGTGTCCCAATTATGTCCTTTGCCAACCTGTCACGATTACATGAAAAGAAAGCTCCCTTTCTTTCCTGTGAACCATGCTTTACAATCTGCAAAGCACTTTCCTATCTATCATTGCATTTGAACCTGATTGACATCAATGAAGTGAAAAAGGCAGGCATTATCCCCATCTTACAGGTGAAGCTCAAAGAGATTAAGTGACTTATTCAGATGGCACAGCTAGGTATAGAGCAGAGACTGTGATTTCTAACCCAGTGATGTAGCCCATACCTGCAGGGACCAGGCTCGTATAGCTCTCTGGGTTTGGAAATTTGCACTGACACTGCAATGCACTGGGCCCTTAAAAGGCTTATGGGTGGTAGTTGTGGTGATGTTGATGGTGGTAATAGTGTGAACTTTGCCTTTACTTTGCCCTTTAGACCAGATTGGTGTGGGGCAGGAGCAGGCTCCTAAATATTAAAGATAAAACCTGAAATAGTCATGAATGTCCTCCCTGTGAGCTGGATGAGAACTCCAAATACACAGCAAGCTCTTGACGATCCACATAATTGGGAAAGTCATTTGTTTGCAAGACATGGTATGAGTCTTCATTTCTTAACAAGTTTTTACTTCATTCCTTACCATGTACCAGGTACTGGCCTGAGCTCTGGGACTATAGTGAGTCACACAGATGGTCCTTGCCTGCACAAACATATAGTGTCTTAGGAAAGACAGACATCCGTTAGATAATCACACACACACAAGCATGTGATTACAAACTGTGATAACTACTGGGGAGAAAAAGGACAGAGTTTTATGAGCACTTATAGCCCAGAGGTCTGAGTGAAGGTTTCCCAGAGGACGAAGCCTATGAACTACCCAGAAGCCTGTCAGGATGATAAGGGATAGCAGTACTGACCCATGTGGTAGACATGGGGATGTGCCTTCACCCATCAAGGAAAAACTTGCCTAAAAAATAGGAGGGGAGAACTTGCCTTCAACCAAGGGGTGTGGTTAGCAGACAGCCTCTACCTGTCAGTGCCATCAGTGTCAGCCTCACTTGCACAGAACTGCCTTGCCTGAGGTTGCCATCACACCCTAACTGGAGAAGCCTAAACTTAGTGACAGAGCAAGACTCAGCAAGTGCTGGAGCAATATTTGCTCCAAGCCTTCCCCAGGAGGTTGGCTGAGGCTTTGGCAAGCCTGCTTCATGGCTTTTCTTTCTCTGCCCAATCCTGCTTCCTCCCACTTCCACTTATAGAAGTAGATCCCTAATATCCATCTTGCACTTCACACTCCATCTCTGTCAGTGGTGAGGCAGACAACATCCCAGGCCAGGGACTGGTGAGGAGCTCCAAGGAGGCTAGGGTGACCGTAGAGCAGACAGTGAGGAAGAGGGGCAGAGCTAGAAGACAAGGGTCAGAGGTGAGTGGTGTTGGACAGGTGGCCTAGGTCCTAAATGTAAGAATTTCAGTTTTCATCCTAAGAACAATTAGAAGCCTCTGGAAAGCTTAAAGTAGGGGAGTGACACAATCCTATTTATGTTTAAATTCTGCTGTATGAAGATGGATTGTAGAGGGTGCGAGTGGATGGATTGTGGTACCAGTAAGGTCCACTGTTGGCCTGGACTGAAGAATGGATGATGAGAAATAGGCTCTTCTGCATCTCCAATCTGGTCTAAAGGGCAAAGTAAAGGCATATTACCTTTTACACATAAGTTCTCTGTCGAATCAATGAATGGAGTAGACTCTACAAGGTCCGAGCTCTCTACAAGGTCCATTCTCTCAAGGTCCTTGCAGTCCAGCAGGAGATGGGCAGTGCATAGTAAGTGTTAAGAGTAGCCCCCAAGAGTGCAGAGCAGCCAGTCCTTGTAGTCAGTGAGGGCCAGAATAGAAAGTGAGAGGATCTTCCAAGAGCAGATGCGCATTATGGTGCTGGAGTGAGAGATGGATGACATTCCAGAATGTCAAATCATGCTCAAGTTGGGTGCTCGGGTGACTTAAGGGTAACTCTTGGTCTCTTGCTCCCAAGGACACTTGGGGAGCTTAGTAGAAGTTAGTGCCCTTAATAATCAAATGCCTTGATCCAGGGCAGTGATTCTAAAGTGTTATTGAGGAGCCCCTGATTGTTTCCTTAAAATGCAGATTCAGAGTTGTACTTGGATTTGTTGGTTCTGAAACTCCAGGGGTGGGTTTACCCAGGGTTTTCCTATAATCAGTATTTTGATGTGCACTAAAGTTTGAGAACCACAGGTGCAAGGCAAGCCTTGGCAGTATCATAGTGGAAAAAGCATAGATCAGAGAGTTCTGAATTCTGGTTCCAAATTTGTCTCTAACCTGTTGTATGTATGACCTTGAGCCAGCACTGTCCTCTTCTTGGGCCTTAAGCCTCCTCATCTGCAGAACAACCTGCATTTCTACCTGATTTCTAAGTTACTGGCTCTAGCTTGAAGATATTTCAGCCTCCTCTTCAAGCCCAACTGACTCCCTCAGTCACAGCTGCAGCCTCTGCTCACTGAGCCTCAGTTTCCTTACCTGTCAGTAAGGTGATGACAGTGTTTAATCCTTCCTGAGAGGATTAAACAATGTTAAAAAAAATTTTTTTAACAGTGTTTTTAAAACAAGCTCTGGTCAGTTTTATTAAAGAAAAGTTTTGCATGATTTACTTTTCACCAATCTGTTCTGGCATGCTTCTAATGACATCAGAATCACCTGGATCAATGCTAGTCAGAGTGCTTACTCTGTAATATTTCTTCCATGCTGTGCTCAAATTAATATTATTGCCACTGTAGTGATGGGCGCCAGTTTTAGCCAACATGCCACAGTATTCTATCTCAGATTTCCTCAAGGCTGGGCAGTTGTTGGCGAGGACAACCAGTTTCACTTTGCCATATCTGATTATTTTCAGAGTCTGCTTGTACCCCAGCATGTACTTTCCACTTGTCATAATGAGTTGGAAACTAGAATTGACCAACTCCAGCGACTTTTTCATCTTCTTTGCTGCCACTATCTTCCTGCTTTAGGTGTGAATCAGCCCCAACCAAGATGCCCGGGAATGACAAGACTAAAATGATATTTTTCTTTTTTTCTTTCTTTCTTCCTTCCTTCTTTCCTTCCTTCCTCCCTCCCTCTTTCTTTCTTTCTTTCTTTCTTTCTTTCTTTCTTTCTTTCTTTCTTTC